CACATATTTTTAATCCAAAATGGGAAGATAAAGTAGATAATACAAAGATGGGTCTAGGTTAGTCATTATAAGTAAAAATGGAGTACCAATCAAACCAAAAGGACCAAGCAGTTAAATGAATGAATGAATGCAACACCTAATTCATGAAAAGCCAGGGCTCATAGTGGCTAGAGGTTTAGCATAATGAACTATGTGACAGGTTTTTTTTTGTTCATTATGTCACATTATTCACTTTATCCTTGAACTGTGAAGTCAAGTTCCCAGGGCAGGACTGCTTAACACGGAGACTATAATAGTAGTACTTAATGAACAAAGGAAGGAAAGGGCTATAACAACTTTAGTGGGTATTCAAATAATCAAAAATAGAAAAAGGAAGTCAATAGCTCCTTGTGTCACCATTACTCAGCAGAAACAAAAGAGTTCCTAGACCTAGGAATAAAAACAATAAGCTCCTAAAAATGCAGGTATATAAGCATCAAGCTCAAGCATAAAGAAGCAAAAACAAATATAGACGACCCAAAAAAGAAAACAAAAGGATAAATACCTGCAAGCATGGAAGGATAGCAGGCCTTCGCTGCTGCAAGAAATGAATGCACATTAAGACATACCTGCAAAGAAAATACCAATTAGCCAAAAGAAATGAAGATGAGGCAAACCAATTGAATCTGTGAATAAGAAATGTGGTCATCTTTTGAGCCAAGATTGCAGACAAACATCAGGCTCAATAAGCACTATGCTATTACAACTTACTCTCTTTCTTCTCTTTCCATTTTTTAGAAAGAAAGGCTTAGCTTGTGTTGGCAGAGAAAAAAAAAAAAGGAACCTTAGCTTGTGCTTTTTCACATCAAAGCAGTACAGCACAATAACAAACAACAATTAGCATATTTCCCTCAAACATTTAATTACCAATTATTGCAAAATATATATACTCTGATATGAGAACTCACGCGTAACTAGATAAGGTTCCTTGGTAAGTTTCATTAATTCTTCTTGACTTGGCCCAGTGTTTCACAATAAAAGCCAACTGACGCAATCTCCCATCTATTTCAGCATAATCCCGGAGAAGCTTTGTATTAACAACAGCCAAAACATTGTTTATGCAAATGTCGCAAGAAATTCCAGTCACAGGATCCCTAAGCTTTACTATGGGGACCCTGGCACGTGTCAATGCCTGTTATACAAGCCCAACAGTTAGTCACTAATCATTATCATCTCTTTTAGAGCACATTATAAGTGTTGATCATACGCAGCCTATAGCCGAAGCATAGATTTTAAGAACTAGTCCAAGGATGTGCATGCCTAAACTATTTTTACTTTTATTTTTATCAATCATCTAAAACAGCATAACTTGGCAAACCAAAATACTTAATTATTATTATAAATTCAGCAAAAACATAAACGTTTACATCATCTTTACATTTGTAGAGACCTTTTTGCTCAACTAACTATAAAGTATAAACTTCTTAAATTTTACCAAAACTCAGAAGAGTCTTAATTTACCTGCACATTTTGAAGATTATCCGACTGCAAAATATCCGCCAACTTTAACAAGACCTCAGACTTGTTCAAGTCAGCATCATTGATTGCAAGGCAAACATCAATATCGCTCTTTGAGACTCCAAAAGAGTTAGCACACGATCCATAGAGATATAACCGAGCTTCAGGCCATTCTTTGCAAACTAGTTTCTCTAGGGATGCCAACAATTGTTTCTGCTTTGCTTTTTCTTCCTCAGGTGGTATTAAAGACTCATAAATCTCAAGGAAAGGTGCATTTAGTGTATCAATGTCACCACGACACTTGATAATCCATTTCAAATTTCTCATCCTCCGGCTAACAAGTAGTTGGCCCCTGTTATCTACCCGGGAATCCTAAAAACAGAAATTGCAAGTGAATCCCAGATTTAACCAAAATCTAGATGTTTTTACACACAAAAAAATCCGTACTTGAAAACATTAGCAGTTACCTTACGAAGTTGCTTCTTGTCTTTCTTTTCATCGGATTCATCCTCAATCAAAAAAGAATCCACAAGCTGTTCACCAAGATCATCCATTTCCCCAGCATCCTCCCTTGTAAACTTATCCTGTCTAAAAGACCCATCTCTATCCCCATATCTATGCAAGTCTGCAAGAGACTCTTCCATATCAGACGCTGAAACAGAGTGCAGATTGCTACCAGTTGAAGGCCCAGCCTGATCAAGCTGTCCACCAAGCGCAACCTCACCATCACCACGGAATTTACCGTCAATATGATTCCCTCTTCTTCTTGGCTTGCTTCCAAACCCAGGAGGAGGAGGAGGCCTCTGAGTTTCCACTGATGGCATCGGCCTGTAATTCCCACTGTGGTGCTGCTTTCCCCGCTCTCCGCCTCTCCTTTGATCAGAATTTCGATTTTGAGATTCATGGTGACTCGAGCTCGGTCGGGAATTCCTTCCCAAGTCAAATTCCCGATTCCTCTCCAAACTGTTGTAGCTCCTGCTCCGCTCGGCGGCTTCACGCTCCGTCAATATGTTTAGCTGGGAAGTCTCTGACTGAGTTCCATTAAGCAAAGTCTCAGTTATATGAATCTCAGTAGGAAAAGTACCAAACCTGAGTTTTTGCACTTGCGGCTTCTGCTGAATCGGAGTCTGAATTGCAAAATTTGCACCAGTATCCGAAAACCCTAAACTCCTCGAATCATTACCGAATCCACCCTGATTTCTGGCGAATTGGTTGTTTCCCTGAGAAGGAGAAGGATTCTGGGGAAACCCTAAGAAATTGGGAGCAAGAGGAGGGGAAAGAGCGTAAGACCAGGAAGCAGGAAGATCGCGGCCATTTGAATGCCATAGAGGCGGAAAAGGAAGGGATGGACCGACTGCTGCAACGGCAGGATCCAGAGCAACATGCTGCTGCTGCTGCTGCTGTTGCCGCTGTTGCGGAGTCGGTATGGGAGTGACCGTTCCGAATAAAAGAGATTGTTGCTGCTGTGTTGTTGGTGGCTTCTGGAGCAAGGAAAGCAAAAACTCACCACCGTTGGCAGCGGATGGCGGTGGCGCGTTATCCCCACTGCCAGCCATTGCAGTGGGTTTCTCTGAGGTTTAACAACTTAGAGGAGAAGTTTTACAACTCCAAGGAAAGTCCGCTGCTTTCTCTCATCTTATGCGAATCTGATTCCAACACAGTACAAATTTTTATTTAATCCAAAAAATACATTTTGGGTGTGGTGCTCCTATTGTAAACGAGACAACAGGTAGAAAGTTGGAAGGCTTGAACTTGGTGTTCAGTCTGGGCCTGAGACGTAAGTGGGTTAGTAATTCCTTGTTGCCACTTGCACAGTACCAGGTTGGTTCAACTAGATGACTGGGTTGGGTCAAACAATTGAGAATTCTGGGAAAAAATAAGCAATTTAATTTAATTGGAGCCAGGAAGACAAACAGTATGTTGTGTAAGGCCCAAATCCAGTTTAGAGGTTGATTGTCTTACACCTTACAAGAAAACTATTAATCTTTTCAAGATACATGGATGGGCTGATGAAATGTTGTTGACTAGTTAAGGAATTTGATTCGGAGTGGTTTTAATCTCTTTCGATGCTTGGTCACATTAGAGTTATTGAGTGAACACTCAGCGTCTCAACTTTGGTTCAACAAGGGCATGCAGATTTTGACATCTTAATTAGTGGTTGCATGTTGGATTTTGCACTCCCATTGTCACTTTGCAAGCTGGAATTTAGAAGAAGGTCTTTTTTTTGGTTAAATGTTAAATTTGGTCCCTCAATTTTACGAAATGCACATTTTTTATCCCTCAATAAAATTTTGCACTTTTTTGATCCCTCTACTATACGAAATGCACTCCGTTAGTCTTTCTGTTAATTTGGGTCGTTAACTCGCTCATGTGGTATTTTTTATAGTTTTTTTTATGATGTGGCAAAAACAAATTAAAATGTGTTAACGTAAAATTTTTTTTTATTACAACTCATGCCAACTCACCTTATTATTATTTATATTTTAAAAAAATAAAATAAAATAATTTTTTCCATCTTCTTCCTTTCTTTTTTTCTTTTTCTTTCTTCCTCTTCTT